ACTTCACCTGTCAGTGTTCATAATGTTATGGCTAATCGGTGTAGTTAAAAACAATCAAGATAAAAAAAAGTGGATATAAAAACCTGGATATAAAGCCAATGTATGACAGCTTCTGGCAGACAACCACAGACAACCACAATGCTGAAGCATGCACAAAGGGGATATCATGGCATTGACAGGTGACCGGTGAAACACACAGTTACCTGAATAAAATTATTCTTTCTCTGAGTTTGACCATTGTTGGAAACATTGTTGGAATAATACAGTATAAAAGTGTACCTCAACAAAATATAGAACCTAGTTTTGGTGTTTATAGACATTTTAATACGAAAATGTTACATATTATATCTTTAGGTGTCATTTTATTTCTTTATTCAAAACTGTTCTTTTGATACAAATTGATTTATCTCCATCTGCTGCTTTATTCAAAGTAAAATGTTGCTAAATATTTCACATAAATTGTTATTTTTGTGGTGTTTGAGTTTCATTTTGTGGGATCTGACCTGCGATGCAGCATGACTGTGATGTTGTGAAACTGGGACAGAGCTGCAGGCGGGGTCGGCCACTCCACGGTCTTTCCATAGTCGGCCATGGTTCGCACATTAGCAAACCTCCTCTCCACCTCCCAGAAGTGGGCCTTCACCTTGTAGCGCTTATAGCAGCCCATGATGGCGTAGATGGCCCTCATCCGCCGGCACCTCAGACGAGCTAAAGCCCCACGCCAAACCTGCGAGTTTTACGGAAAGAGGGACGCGTCAAAGACAGAAAGCGAGAGAGGGGAAATGAGAGAGCTGAAGACAGACTCGTGCTCCAGTTAAAGAACCAGACTTCTCTGTGGAGTCATCAAAGTAGGTCAGGAGAAAGAGAAAGTGTATTTCATTGAGCAAGTGAGGTAATTGACTTTAATGTAACTGTGCTCTGGATCTCATTAATTATCCCAATTATTGTTACAGGAAATTAGGATTCAAGCTGGCAGATGAATTTCACTCAAACATAACCAGGAGCCACATATTCATGAGGCTGAGGCAAACTGCAATCTCCTCTTTGAAACCCAGAGGCCTGCGTCTGAAGAGATAATGTCACGGGTGATTAACTGTAATCACATGATCCTTGCTGCCCGTGACATTACATTAGGTCTCTGTGTCAATTAATTGGACTGTTTGGATCGATAAATCCTTATCATATACAGGCACGGCTTCACGGTCATAGACACCTGACATTTTAAATTTCAAATCATGTTGAGGCTGCGGGTGAATACTAAAAGTGACGATGATAACAAATAATGTAGTAAAACTTATGTGTGGCTGACCTTCTGCAGGAAAAGCACCAGGATGGGAATGAGGGCGGCTCTCTCCTGCTCCAGAGTGAAGAGGGACCGCGGTGTTCGGACAAACAGCTTGGTGTGTCCGTACGCCACATCGTCCTGGAAACCGTGCTGGGTGACGATGGCCTCCACGGCTTCTCTGTCCGAGGCCATCAGGTGGTTCGGCCAGGTGTACTCGCATGTCATTTTATACCTGCAGAACGTTCAGGAGGGAGAAAATCAGAGCTTACAGTATGACGTATGAGAAGTTCAGCGTCTCTGGCTGTACCTTTTGTTATTGAGTAGCTTTTTAATTTACACATAAAAGTCTTTTAGGTTTGTGGTTTTATTTAAAGGGGCACGCCACCAATTTTATATGATATGGTAAACTTACTAGTCATAGTCAATAGTAAAAGAGTTGTATGATGTCTGTGGGTCTGGAGAAGCTTTGTTAAGTCTAAGACAATTATGATTATATAATAAATGACACCACCCAGGCCCTCTGTAGATAAAAACCTCTCAATCTAAGCTAACAAATACACAGGGATTCCTTTTTTTAAGTGATTATACACTAATAAAAACATACCTATGAATAAGAGTTGCCTCCTAATAGTCGACTAAATCATTAACCGATGAGAAGAGTCTTAGTCAGCCCACTTTTCATTTTCATTAGTATCAGGGGATTGTTGCAACATGGACCTTTTCTCCTGTAACACAGCACTGCTGCTTGTGCTATCTGTACAGGGGGAGGTTTATTTACACTACCAACGTAAGGAGAATAAGCACCAGAACTGGAGCCTTAAGAGCACGTTCACAGTGTCCGAGACCGACAGAGGCCAGGTGATTTACAGCGGCTCCGAACAAGACTCTGACCCCTAACAACTACTAGTCGATTAGGACAATCTTTATTCGGGGGCAGCTCAAACATTAATATTATATTTCATTCCTGCTCTGTTTGTCTCTTGCAGTTTAGTGGAATAAAATCCCATCTAACATTGTTCCTCACTGTTAAATGTAACTTGGTAACATCAGCTCATTTTAAGTGAGATAATGTTAACTTTAGTAGTTTTAAGTAAAATCTAGTAATTGTTTTTGAGTACTTGGGATAGCTTGGTACACCCTGGTGTTACACTGAGCTGCTGAAGTAGTACAAAAAAAGACTATCTCAGCGTCACAGAGCATCCTGTTCTCTTACCGCTGCAAGAAGCGAGCGTAGGGCTGCCTGTAGGCAAAGCCCGCCCTGCGCACCATCACATTCTCCATCAGGCCGAGGTAGGCCACCTGGTGCTTGCAGCGAGCATCGTCAAACAACATCGAAGACTTCACCTCGTTGGGCTTTATGCATCGCACATAGTACGGCTCCTGAAACACAAGAAAGGACATGCAGGCTCAAGAAAGAGATCATCATTATTGTAACTTGCCTGTGCATCAATTTACAAAGATCTGTGGTAATACTATAAGTAAGGATTCAATGAAACACTTCAAATACAATAAAAGTCCCAACACAGCACCCATACAGTGTTACGCACTTCCAACAGTTTGACTGATTCAGTGTTTGTATGATTGAGGCGATATTTTTTCATAACATTCTTGTTTTATCACCTGCACAAACGTATTATTTGTGCGTGTTTTTAATCACAGTTTTCATCACTGCTGCGTTCATCGCTGTGCAAGTAAATAAACTAAACCCCTAAACTATGACACGGCTAACTGAGTTCACTGACCTTGAATCAGACTTTCAACAGACGCTACAGTGAGCAGCTGAGCCTCACAACACATCCAGCACATCTACTTATTAACAGCACATTTAACTGCACGTTACAACTTTGAAGGCGACGGAGCCTCCTGTGTGGAGTCATGGCCCCGCGCCTGCACCTTGACAGGGATCTCTGTGGGATACAATATCCTGTCACAGAACAGAGGCTGCTGTGTTTTTCCGCTGTCTCTCACTCGCCGTCCATAAAAGATGAACCCTGCAGAACAAAGTGAGCACTTTCTGAGCGCTGCCTGACACCGTCGTCCATCATATCAATGATGCATGTGTGTGTTTGCAACTTCAACTTCAGCAGAGATTTGAAAAAAAGGACGCCAGTTAATGGGAGGTTTGGAGCAAGTAAGGTGGGCAGACTGGGCACAGGTGCTTCGGTAGAGCGGTTGAAGAAAACATCCGCTCTTTCAACGTGACCTGAAGGGAAAAAAACTGTTGCCAGGGGAGTTTCCTTTCATTTTACCTCAGCCACACCGAGACGAGATGCTACAACAGCCCGACAGCAGGCCATCCCAAAATAACAGCAGGAAATGTCAGACTTCAGTCAGTGAGATGAGGCCAGGAGAGGTGAGCAGCACATTTTGTGGTCCACCACCATCACCACCTCCCTCCTTCCTTCACCACCCTCCCAACTCCACACAGTCAGACAGGATGAGGACAAGCGACCTACAAAAACTGTTCCTCTCTGACACCAAAAAGAGCACATAACTATGTATACATGTTCCTGCCGGACTGCTGCATGCTGCTTCTCGCTCTATATTTTGTCATGCATGGTGATGAACCTCCTGAAAGAGAGGCCTCAGAATAGCCTGTGACTCATTCAGGCTTTACAGGGACCAGAACAATCCAAACTGGTGCACAACATCCTCCTGATGATGACAGCAAAGTAAACTGGGGTGGGGGAAATCTATGTTAGCACTAAATACTGACTCCAACATGAAAATATGATCACATAATCAAGCCTCAAGTGACTTTGATTGGACATAAGTTCTACCCTATAAACCCCAAACTCAGTAACTAAAATTGAGTTCTGACTTTCTGACATCTGTGTTGTACCATATAAAACATATTACGCCCTTTAAATGTACATTTTTAAACAACAAACACTACAAAACAGAGCTTAAAAGCAGGCCAACCCACACAAACTGTACTCTAGCTACAGCAAGACAACAATATCAAGTGTTAGCTAGCTGGTGAGTTAGCCACGGCTAGTCTAAAGTTAAAATGTAGTAATTGATTTTTCCCGAACTCTTTTCTGTAATTAAAAACATATTCCTTTTGATTCATCTTGGTTTGTAATTCCACGTAACTAAATGAAGCAGCAGTTAAATCCAATCATGACAGAAAACCTTCAACTCCTGCTAAAATTAAATAGCTTAGTTAAACTCAGTAACTGTGTAGCTATCGAGAAAATAGCTATATCACATATTAGCTTACAAGCCATTTAAGTTAGTTAAAGATAAATTAAATTTAAGTTTTTAAGGCAAAAAAGCTAAATCAAATGTTAGCAATATATCAATATCGACCTTTAGTTAAAAGCTAATTAATTAGTTTTCTGTTTGAACATACCCATTATGATAAAATTACATAAACACAGTTAATCTCCATTTGTGAGGTATTATATAAATTCTATGGTAATTATATTTTTGATGGTGGTGATCTAAAAACAGCACAAAATAAAGACCTTACATGTTACACAGAAAGAAAACCTTTTCTCTTTCTTTCAGCTTCACAGCCTTTATATTACCTGCTCCCTGCCTTTGTGGGGCAGAGTTGCTCAGCTTTACTTTACACTTGCCAGAATTAGCTATCTTTAATCAGTCTAAAAACTATGCCATCCAAAGCTTCCCCTGGGGGGGGGGAGTTAAAGGGAAATGAACAGGAAGTCAATCTTAAACTGAAATTACTGACCTTGCAGGCCAGTTTATCCACCAAGGCCACAATGGAGTTCTTGAAGAGGGTGGCTGCGGTCAGAGGTCGCTTGGTGACCTCTGTGATGCTCAGATGACCATCTGGCCACATCTCCTTCAGGACTGGGTTGGCACTATGAGACAAAAAGGGGGCAAAGAGCAAAGAAAGGGGCGTCATTAACTAGACTAGCAGAGGAGTGATGTGCAAACAGGGTGAAGAAGAAACTAATTTATACTCTTAACCCAGTTACTGAACTGTCAAGAGCATCATGATGTTGCAAGTGATTGGCAGTGAAGATTGTGTTTTGGCACCTGTTGTACATGAGGCGCTTGAAATCCTGGTAAAGCATGTCCTTGTTTTTGTCCAAAAACCCCTCGACGGAATATCTGCAATGGATGTAGAGGAAGAAAGTGAGCGTAATCAAGAGTAATTAGCCAAAAAGTAGTTCAAGAGGGAGAAGGAGGGAGGGAGGGCCGACTGAAGAGCACTTGGAGTGAAGTGACAGAAAAAAGAGTCAAGATGTTAAAATTACAAGTAAGTCATACAGAAAGCAGCAGAGTTGATACAGACACTAAAGGGGGTCGCTATCGTTACTCGTTAACAGACTCCAGCCTCTGCTCCGAATGATTCACAGTCCTCAGGCTGGAGGATTAGAACAACAGTCATGCCGCTTAGACGATTTACAAATTAGGAACATGGTCAAATTCCCCCCACGGCTCACGTTTTAGAGAAGAAAAAAAAACTGAACTGTCTACTAACTTATCTGTCTGCCTTTTTTTTACCCAAACCGCTCTGTCGGTTTTTGGTGAGGCATCAGTGGGAGGTCACAGGCGCACTGTAAGGCACAGTTACATAAGCCGTCCAGCCCCGCGGGTAAGAGCCTGCTGTAGTGTAAGTGTTGCCTCAAATAAACTCTCCCTCTCTTTTCTCACTCGTAGTGCAACTTGTGCAGCACTTTGCTTAAAAAATTTAAAATCTTACTTTGTTTGGAATTAAAAGTAAAGTAAAAGTAATCCACAGAAAAATGGCTCCTGTTTGTTGTTTTGCTTGTTAATTAAGTTCCCCATTAGCTTCTGCAACCTGTGAATTATATATTATTACCTCCAGCAAGGAGGTTATGTTTTTGTTGCCATTTTAGCGTTTGTTTGTTTGTGGCTGTTTGGCCATACCTTAGGTCGCCCTTCAGGGCAAACAACACTTCAGCACTGACAAAACAACTAAATCCATTGGATTTATTAATGTAAAGAAACACAAACAACCAAGACACAAAGAAACGCAAAATCCCAGCGGCAGAGAAGCCGTATCACCAGTAGTCCCCATTTCAAAAGCCTCTCACTCCGTCCATGTAAGAGCAATATTTGTTACAATAACAGCGCACTTGTTAAAGCAGCAACAAGGAACTTTTAATACAATTCTGTCTGTCTTATGTAGTTGTTGTTTTGTAAACAATAATACATAGAATTTTCTTACACCCTTAAAAATCAAGAGGTCCTTGTAACCCCCAGCTTTGGTGACCCCTACAGGTTGGGAACCACCGGTCTAACTGCCAACCCCTCTCTACTTATACAGTCTGTGCTGTCTAGCGGCGGTACCTACAGGCAGTGAATCACAACAGCAGCAGAGGGACAGAGGACCTTGGCGGAGGTCTGCACTTTCTGGGTGCCCTTCTAGTTGTATATTACATTATTAGGGTACAGCACACTAAATCAACATTGGCTAATATATTCGCCTCCACCTTCCATTTAATGAAAGCAAAGGGGTGAATAAAACCTTTGCTTTCTGCATGTGTACTTCATGTGAGTTCAACATTGGTGAACCAGCAAAGTAGCAGCCTCAACCAGTAGCCAATAGCCCATACGTGTGTGTGGTTGATGCCTAAAATTAACTACAAACCAGCAATTGGTGTGCAGCAGATTCTCATCTCAGCAGCCGATGATGACTAACCTGCTTTCACATACAGTATGTGTGACTTTAGCTATAAATACTGATGCAAAAATGTAATGTAAATGTATACATTCATCACAGACCCTCATATCTGATACTTCTGCCTATTGTACTTCTGTACAATAGGTACCTATTGTACTGTATTTCCTCAATGCATCTAGATATTCACATTCTCTTTTTCAGACATATAGAGGAACCCCCTTCCCACTTCCAGACTAAATTTGGGATCAATCAGAGCTTGCATTACAGAATTACATGTGTTAAGGTGCATTGTCTCCCATTCCATTAGTCCAAGTTTCCAAACTAGGGGTCAGGCCTCTACCAGAGTGAGAGCTTTGGGGGTTGTGAGGTGATTAATGGGAGAGAAAA